TGACTCGTCAAATAGTAATATGTTTATTCTTTTTGAGACGATCAGGAGCAATATCCATAACTTTCAGCCCTTGTTCTTTTGGGGTTTTAGGCCTTCATGGCTTTTTACAATGTTGAATTTAAGAAAATATCTTTTTTATCTCTTACCTGTAAAGGATAGATCTCTCATGTGTAAAAGCAAATCTCCCATATGTAAAAAAAAAAAAAAAAAAAAAAAAAAAAAAAAAAAAAAAAAAAAGTTCCATGAACTACGTTCGACTTGATTCCGAAAGGATATGTAGGTAGCCTCTCTGGGGTTCAGTCACGCCAAAATAAAAATCTAAATTCCCCCAAAAGTGAAACTGGGGCAAATGTTATAATGGTTCGGCGATGACTTCGCCCTAAAGGTTCCAAAGTTGTAACTCAATCCCAAATCCTTTTTACCCCAAAACCCTGTTCAAGTCCTTCTGATCAATCGACAAAGAGGTTCAAAATGGAAGGATAGAGTTACTTGGATCTGATACAACAAAATGAGAGAAATAAAATAAGAGAGTCTTATTGGTGAAAACCCACATAGGCACCATAAGGCGATGGTAAGCAGAGAAATGAAATGAGAGAGTCTTATTGGTGAAAACCCACACAGACACCGTGAGGTGATAGTAAGCACAGAAATTGAAATGAGAGAGTTTTGTTAGTGAGAACTCGCAAAGAGAACTATAAGGCGATGGTGAGAAGAAAAATGAGAGAGGTCAGCTCGTGAAAACCCGCAAAGGGCGTCCCTGATCAAAAAGAGGATCCTCACAGCCATCGACATCAACAGAGTCCTAGCAAAGTTCTCAGTTTTAAGGCAAAGTTGTGATGAATTTCTGAGAGTTGGACGATTTACACAGATTCGGCATCCAGTCCAAAATGCATGTCATGTTCATTGAAGTCCGCATGCACTCCGAATAAGTCCTTCTTTCTTCTCCCCGAAAGTGATACCTCTCATTTAAATTCATTATCCTGTCCATTGTTTATTTTTCTTTGAATTCTTTTCAGTCTAACTCAATTCTGTAACTAAGACAAAGAAGGGATGGCAAGATTGATTAACAGGGCTTTCGTTTGACACGAGTTAATGTGCAAAAAAGCACCCAGCCTCAGCAGGTGCATCAAGTCGATCTCGACTGGCCATGATGGCCGATGCTTCAGAGTCAAAATTATTGAAAAGGAAAGAAATCCAAAGTCAAGTGCCCATAAAGGCAAAATAAGATGAAAAGGCCAAATCCCCACACGGGTGAACCAGTATGTGAAATTTTGGAAAGTTAAGATCTCTGGGTTTAGAAGAGAGATCAATCTCTAGAAAGCCAGCGAGCAATAAAGGTTTTCATCGAAAGAGTTGGGTCGAGATCAAACAATCAAGGCCACAAAACCAACCACAGTTTCAAACTAACAATTGTTCTTTGTTTGAAAAATATGAAACAGGTGCAATCCAAAGCAACCTTGCAAGAAGCAGGTGCAACCAAAAGAAACTGCGCAAGGGCTAGAAACAGTTTTGCAACAATAATCAATCCAAAAAGGAAGTCTCTTCCAAATTCTTTCCTAAATTCTTACTCATTTTTTCTTAAATAAAATTTAAAAAGAAAAAAGAAAAAAAGAGAGAAGAAGAAAATTCAAAAACATGGTAGCCTAGGGTCCCAATCTCTAGTTACGTTTTTCCAACATAGGGTCTCCACTCCCTAGTTGATTTTATTTTAGACATAGAGTCTCCACTCCCTAGTTGAAGTTATTTTAGACATAGGGTCCCCACTCCCTAGTCTGCTTTTCCAACATAGGGTCTCCACTCCCTAGTTATTTTTATTTTAGACATAGGGTCTCCACTCCCTAATCTGCTTTTCCAGCATATGGTCTCCACTCCCTAGTATGCTTTTCCAACATAGGGTCTCCACTCTCTAGTCTGCTTTTCCAGCATAGGGTCTCCACTCCCTAGTTGATTTTATTTTAGGCATAGGGTCTCCATTCCCTAGTCTGCTTTTCCAACATAGGGTCTCCACTCCCTAGTTATTTTTATTTTAGACATAGGGTCTCCACTCCCTAGTCGCTTTTCCAACATAGGGTCTCCACTCCCTACTTTATTTTGTTTTAGACATAGGATCTCCACTCCCTAGTCGCCTTTCCAACATAGGATCTCCACTCCCTAGCTGATTTATTTTAGACATAGGGTCTCCACTCCCTAATCTGCTTTTCCAGCATATGGTCTCTACTCCCTAGTTGATTTTATTTTAGACATAGGGTATCCACTCCCTAGTCGCTTTTCCAACATAGGGTCTCCACTCCCTAGTTGAAGTTATTTTAGACATAGGATCTCCACTCCCTAGTCGTTTTTCCAACATAGGGTCTCCACTACCTAGTTGAAGTTATTTTAGGCATAGGGTCTCCACTCCCTAGTCTGCTTTTCTAATATAGGGTCTCTACTCCCTAGTTGATTTTATTTTAGGCATAGGGTCTCCACTCCCTAGTTGATTTTATTTTAGTCATAGGGTCTCCACTCCCTAGTTTTCTTTTCCAACATAAGGTCTCCATTCCCTAGTTGAAGTTATTTTAGACTTAGAGTCTCCACTCCCTAGTCACTTTTCCAACATAGGGTCTCCACTCCCTAGTTGATTTTAGTTTAGATATAGGGTCTCCACTCCCTAGTCTCTTTTCCAACATAGGGTCTCCACTCCCTAGTTGATTTTATTATAAATAGAGGGCTCCACTCCCTAATCTCTTTTTCCCAAGGATACACAATCCTGATTTTATTACTTTCAATAAAGAAATATTTTAGATTTTTGTTATAAATAACTCACGAAATTTTCCTAGTAAAAACTGGGGCATAAAATTTCGTCCATTTGTTGCTTTGATGCCTGAACAGGTTTTCACCGTGAATCACAGGGTTTGATATGACCAAAAGAAGAAGTCTCAACCCTAATAAAAGAAAGGAAGAACAAGAAGAGATGTTGAACTCTAAGTGCAGAAGCGGAGAAAAGATGCAAACTGCCCAAGATATGATTGAGGTCACAAGCTTTGCATGTCCCGCCTTGATCCGAACAGTTGAAGAAAAATGAACCAGCATTCGCAGCTAACGAGCATCAAGATTTAGATCGGAGTCTGCAGGAAGAACCAGCCAAGACTCAAGATCAAGCTTTAGAAGATTTATAGATAGGAATCTTGTAACTCGTAGCTGATAGGTTTAGTTAGTCTTTTTCATTTTGATTTTGATATAATAACAGAACCGTGGACTGGAGCCTCGACGGAACCTCGACTCTCGAACTCATCACTCTATCATCCTTCAAAAACTACACTGACCTGATTCTTTTATAGTCAAGGATATGTAAGCAACCTCCGAAGCAAGGTTCGGTTAAACGTTTTTAAAATGCTTCCAAATGGAGTTTCAAACGGGCAAAAAATTACTCGTAATTGCTCACTTTATCTTTTCTCAAAAACTCTTCATGTTTTCGAGCAAAGAGGGGCAGCTATAAACACCTAATTTTTGCCCTACATGAAAATAACTCCTAAAAATAAACCAAAAATGATTCTTAAGGGATTTTAGAAGTTTTTTCTTTATTTAGTTGCATTTCATGCATTTTTAATATTTTAAAATCATATAAAAATCATAAAAAATGTCACATTTTAATTTTATGTCATCTTAGGTCCAATTTGAATGTAGGAATTAATTGTATTAAGAGAAATCACAAAAAATGGTCATTTTTACATATTTAGCTTTTAGTCTTTAGAAAGTAGTGTTTTTATTTAGTTTTAAGTTAATTAGTTATTTTAATAGATAAACAATTTTAATTTTTACAAATTAGATTGATTTAGGATTTTATTAGATTTTAATCAAAGAAAAAAAAAATAAAATAAAAAGATTTTGATTTAGTCTTCCTACCCCAAAGTTAATTAGCCCAAATTCACGACCCAAATCCCTTCAAGCCCAAAATAATGAGCACATACTCATTCTCCATTTGACCTAACTTAATTCCTACCCCTATAAAATAATCTTTTAACTCTTAAAATCAAATAGGACACTAAGAGCTAGACAACAAGGGAACGGCGCATTTTGGAGTAAAAGAGCTTCTCCTCCATTTCCATCAAAAACCAAGACAGACCTCTGCCCAAGGAAGTTTCAAATTGAAACATTCCCAAAAATGAGTTATCTTCCCCAAGTTAAAATCTAGTAAATGAATCCCTATTTTCCAATTCCATTACCCACTGTATTTTCCAAAATTCCTAACATATAAAGAGAACAAGATCCAGCGACCCTTACAAAGCTCATTGTTCATGAAATTCTTCAAGATAAGGGAACAATTAAAAAAATTGAGAAGTGTTTGGACAGAAATCAAAAAAGAAGTCGAAGGTTTTGAGAATTCGAGTTGAAATTCCTGGTTCCGGTTCCACCATACGATTTTTGTTGTTGTTTGTCGGTGGATTTCTGGGACCAAAGAAGTGTACATTTGCTTATTTTTCCATTGTCAATTAGAAGAATTTCAGTTTAGCAGGTTCATTTCTTTTATCTTTCTCTCTATTTCAAATGAATTAAATTTTGAATGGTTATTTTATTCATGTTCCTCTGTGTTAATCTATGTCTAAAATGAATTTTAACTTAATTTGTTGTCTGATTCTTTTTGCTTTTGTGCTTGGTGTTCGTTGTTGGCAGTGGCATCTTCAGAGAGATTAGGGAAAACTGTTTCTGTCCAGAATGAGGAAGATGAGAGAAAACCATGTAAAATACTATATTTTCTGCCTTCTTGCCTTTGAAATCCTCTAAGCTAGCTGCCAATTAATAATTAGTTACGAATATTTATCCAACACATGCATCAACGTATAAAGAAATTAATTGTGTATTCTTGAAGTTAGAGGAATAGCCAAATAAATATTTAAACTCAATTTTGTAAAGACTATTAAAAGATCATATAATGTCATGTTTCTGTATTCATGTTAGTATAATCAAAAGACAATATGATATTAGATCAAAGACAATATTTGATAACAAAGTGAAATGGGGTTTTTGGTTTGTTTAATCTATTTTATATATGTTCTGCTTTGTTGCTTATATGTTCACTGTTGTTGCTATTTTATGGGGAAAGTCTTTTAAATCTTCGGTGCCTGGTAATTATTAGTTGTTGTCTGGAAAGTAATTGATTTAAGGTCATGGTTTCGATTGGTTTACTGCACCATCGGAAGCACTGTGCCGGTGCTACTTTGAGTCTGTTTTTTGGAGTTGCTTACAACTACGGAACCTTTGTTATATTTCTTACCCATTTGTTATAGATTGTTGTTGATTTCACTTCTGTTAGCTGCATTGCTAGTCCCGGGCTGGCTTTGGCTCCTTAAAAGAAATACTTGTGTTTGGCCTCATTGCTACAAGAAAAGACACAAGGTATCAGTCAAAAAACAGAAGTAAGATTTAGATTAATTTCGTTTAAGTAACAAAGTGGGTTTGGGTGCTAAAGTGAGAGCATGGATAGTATGTTTATTTATTTTCTTCCTTGTATTTAAATTTTTTTTTAATTATCTTTTTTTACTGCTAGTATTCTTTAGGCATGTATTAAAAAATAAGTTATCGTGATTACATACACGTACGCGTGACATAGTTACGATACCAAAAAATATATATATCGAGGTATGTGTTTGCGCAACTTCAGTCAAACTTTCTTAATAATTAATAAAACATGATTAATCGTGTACACGTACGCATGACATGATTCGTGATGTGCCAAACAAAATGGGTACACATACGCATGACTCATTTTAGGATAATTTCTTAATTAAAAGTGGGGTAAAAAATAAATGCATATAGGTCCTAAAAATGAGTAGTTAAACAATTCAAGCCAAGTAATAATCACTAAGCGACCGTGCTAGAACCACGGAACCCTAGAATGCCTAACACCTTCTCCCGGATTAACAGAATTCCTTATCTAGAATTTCTGGTTCGCAGACTTTTAAAATAAAGTCAAAACTTCCTCGATTTGGGATTTTAAATAAACCGGTGACTTGGGCCACCAATTAAACTATTCCAAGTGGCGACTCTGATAAATTAAATAATCCCATTTCGATTTATGTCACTTTAATTGGAAAAACTCCTATATACCCACGGGGAGTAAAAAGGAGGTGTGACAGTTCTTAAGGTGATTCAGGTCTCCCAAAGGGGAAATTGAGAAGAGGTTTATATAGCATTGAGTCAAGCAAGTAAACAAGGAAAGAAATCAAGTAAACACGAACAAAAAGAGTAAAATATCGCATGCAATCAGTAAAGTAATTGGAAAGGAAAAAAATCAAACTCTAAACCCTAGTTAGGGTTTAATACTCAAAAATCGACCAACTGGTATGAAGAATCAAGCCTTTCATCATGTATATGGACGAGATATTGTCCAAACCTCCAAGATTGAGGTTGATTCCAGTCCGATATAGATATGTTGTTTGCAAAAATTAGGCAAATACCTAAGTAATATCACAAACGTAGATGTGGTAAGCAAATAATAGTGGAATCCCATTATCAACGGGATCAGGAGGGGGAATTAAGGGAGAGACAGCTAGGGTTCTTCAGAAGAGAGAAGGGGAGAGTTAAGGGGATTTAGGTCGGTTGTTATGTGGGAAATGAGGTAGGGTTTTCAGGTTTGTTTAGTTAAAAGGGCTTGGGTGAGCGAGAGTCGTTGATCTTGAGAGACCAATGGCAAGGATTTAAAATATGAAAGGGGCGGGTCATTTAAAACGGGTACCGACCGGGTTAATTAAAGGAGTTGTTTGTTTTGGGTTGTGGGATTGGGCTTAACTAGAGGTGTTGGACGTTTGGCCCATTAAATTGGTCTAGAATTGGCTCCAAATTGGGCTACAAATTAATATACAAAAAATATATTTATAAAAAGTAATTAACAAATAGTAAAAGTATTATTTATGTAGTAAGATGCTTTAAAATAATAGTTTGATATTATAAAAATATAAAAATGCTATTTGGGCATCAATAATGTAATAAAATATAATTATGCACAACATATAGGCTATTACTATAAAATTATGTAAAATAGCTTCGAAATACAAATATAATTATATAAAATAAATTAAAATATTATAAAATATATATGTTGATGCAAATAATAAATTTGGATGATTATGTCCTCACAAAATAATTTAAAGGGGTAATTAATACATATTTAAATAATTTAAATGCAAGAAAATTAATTTTAAAGCTTTAAAATTATAAAAAATCATAGAAAATTCTTACATGACTCCTGTAAATTAGGTAATAATGCAAGTAATGATATTTTGAAAGTATATAGGGTATTTATAAAATATGAGGTTAAAATTGGGTATCAATAGCTGCCCCTCTTTACCCGGAAATAATGAAAGAGTTGTCGGGTAAAGAAAATAACGACCAATTTTGTCCGAAGTGAGTGAGGAATGAAGTTTTGAAAAAAAAAATCCCAAACCGTGGTTCTTGAGTTGCCTACATATCCCTAGTGTTACGGAAATCAGGCCGTGCATAGTTCTAGATCAAACAGCGAACGAAACCAATGTAGTTGTTATAAAAGTGGTCGTGTGTTTTGAAAAAGGATCTTTTGAGTAGGATAGTGTCATGAGTAACAGATAACTTCAGGTGGGGTTATGAATGCAAATTGAACGTTACGAATGTACAAGGTAGTCATTTGGACGGTTATACAACAAAAGGTAATCAAATGCTGATCATCGGTTATGTTTGAGGTAGTCAAAGGATATGGATGTTGTAAATGGAAACCAGAGCGAGAATTGCTCCTATTTGTAGAACGGTTACCTCCCGAGTTACCTGTAAAACATAAAACACGATGCACACAAATATACGAGGTTATTGCAAAAATTTAAACATGATGCAAATTCCCTTTGGACCATGAGAGTTGTCTTTGAACCATGAGGATGATGTCCGTAGACTATGACGTCCTGGGAAATGAAGCGTATCATAAGGGATTCACAGGCCATGGAATGGTTTCCTCGGGCCATGAAGACGGTGCCTCCAAACTATGATGTCTTTGAATAATGGTATGCAATTTTGAGAGATCCTCAAGCCATGACATGGTGTCTTCAGGCTATGAGGATGGTGCCTTTGGACTATGATGTCTTTGGACAATGTGGAGATGTTTCAACCCATTAAATGCAAGTATGTGGTAATATCGATCATTTGATAAAGGAACATGTGATGCTTTGTCATATGCGAGAACGAGACGAGACAAGGCTTAGTCTCGTATGGAATGAGGGCAATATTTAGCCTTATGCAATATGGAGGAAGTGTTTAGCCTCATGCAAGGAATGGAGACAATGCATAGTCTCATGTAAAGAAAGGCAGTGCATAGCCTTATGTAATAGTGGAGGCAGTGCTTAGCCTCATGCAAGGTGAGGGTAGTGTTTAGCATTATGCAATATGGAGGCAGTGCTTAGCCTCATGCGAGGAATGGAGACAATGCTTAGTCTTATATAAAGAAAGGCAATGTTTAGTCTTATGAAATAGTGGAGGCAGTGCTTAGCCTCATGCAATGTGAGGGTAGTGTTTAGCCTTATGCAATATGGAGGAAGTGCTTAGCCTCATGTGAGGAATGGAGATAATGCTTAGTCTCATGTAAGGAAAAGCAATGCTTAGCCTTATGCAATAGTGGAGGCAGTGCTTAGCCTCATACAAGGTGAGGGCAGTGTTTAGCCTTATGCAATATGGAGGCAGTGCTTAGCCTCATGCGAGGAATGAAGATAATGCTTAGTCTCATGCAAGGAAAGGCAATGTTTAGCCTTATGCAATGATGTGGGCAGTGCTTAGCCCTATATAAGAGGAGCAATGATTAAATGCGAGAGGGAAAAGTATTTCTTATCTTGATGCGTTTTGCGACTTCTAACGGTGTAAAGGTAGTGATCCTGTTGCATATATATATTTGCGGACGTTCTCGTTATGTCCATCATGCCTACATCCAAAGAATAATTGTGAGTTTTGGAAAGGGGGAAGGTTGGTTCGTGCTCCCGATTCCTTGCTTTGCCCTTGATCTTGTCTTGAGGTCCTATTTGAGTCTCCCCGAGTAGCGTCTGGCTACTGTAGAAAAATAAAAAACTTCGAAAAACATGCATTTGTCATAAATCGTTTATACAAAAAATTAGTTGTTTGAAATATGTGATAATGCCTGAGAGTAAATAATTTAAGACACGCTTTTGAGACATTGCAACCTCCTTAACTCGAAATTTCAAGGATCCTCCTCAAAATTCTATCGTAGTTTAAATGTGTACTTCTAGCGATGCATTCCTTGGTGATTCTAAACATGATGAGATCGGACAAACTCGAGATCTTGCCCCAGTTTCTTACCATAGGGGAATGAAGATTTTATTATGATGTGACCGAACCCACAGGGCTGCCTACGTATCCCCTCTTAAACGGGAATCAGGTCAAGCATAGTTTAGTTATATTAAATAGAAAGTACAAGCATAGTATCTCTTGACTGCGTACGGCCAAATCTCTCTATCCATTTCTGCAAGTATAAGTGCTCCTCCTGTT